ACTCATTCACAAATCGATCACGTTAAACTCATTCACAACACGATCACGTTAAACTCATTCCCAAATCGATCACGTTAAACTCAATCACAAATCGATCACGTTAAACTAATTCACAACACGATCACGTTAAACTCATTCACAACACGATCACGTTAAACTCATTCACAACAATATCACGTTAAACTCTTTACCAACAATATCACGTTAAACTCATTCACAACACGATCACGTTAAACTCATTCACAACAATATCACGTTAAACTCATTCACAACAATATCACGTTAATCTCATTCACATCACAATCATGTTAAACTCATTCACAACACGATCACGTTAAATTCATTCACAACACGATCACGTTAAACTCATTCACATCACAATCACGTTAAACTCATTCACGTCACAATCACGTTAAACTCATTCACATCACAATCACGTTAAACTCATTCACATCACAATCACGTTAAACTCATTCACATCACAATCATGTTAAACTCATTCACAACACAATCATGTTAAACTCATTCACATCACAATCATGTTAAACTCATTCACAACACAATCACGTTAAACTCATTCACAACACAATCACGTTAAACTCATTCACAACAATATCACGTTAAACTCATTCACAACACAATCACGTTAAACTCATTCACAACACAATCACGTTAAACTCATTCACATCACAATCACGTTAAACTCATTCACAACACAATGATGTTAAACTCATTCACAACACAATCACGTTAAACTCATTCACATCACAATCATGTTAAACTCATTCACATCACAATCATGTTAAACTCATTCACATCACAATCATGTTAAACTCATTCACAACACAATCACGTTAAACTCATTCACATCACAATCATGTTAAACTCATTCACATCACAATCATGTTAAACTCATTCACAACACAATCACGTTAAACTCATTCACAACACAATCACGTTAAACTCATTCACATCACAATCACGTTAAACTCATTCACATCACAATCATGTTAAACTCATTCACAACACGATCACGTTAAACTCATTCACAACACAATCATGTTAAACTCATTCACAACACAATCACGTTAAACTCATTCACAACACAATCACGTTAAACTCATTCACATCACAATCACGTTAAACTCATTCACATCACAATCATGTTAAACTCATTCACAACACGATCACGTTAAACTCATTCACAACACAATCATGTTAAACTCATTCACAACACAATCATGTTAAACTCATTCACAACACAATCACGTTAAACTCATTCACAACACAATCATGTTAAACTCATTCACATCACAATCATGTTAAACTCATTCACAACACAATCATGTTAAACTCATTCACATCACAATCATGTTAAACTCATTCACAACACAATCATGTTAAACTCATTCACAACACAATCATGTTAAACTCATTCACAACACAATCACGTTAAACTCATTCACAACACAATCATGTTAAACTCATTCACAACACGATCACGTTAAACTCATTCACAACACAATCATGTTAAACTCATTCACAACACGATCACGTTAAACTCATTCACAACACAATCATGTTAAACTCATTCACAACAATATCACGTTAAACTCATTCACATCACAATCATGTTAAACTCAAATATTAATCCGAACATCATAGTATACCTTTGTTTCGTTGGTGATATTTTTCGAGTTTTTCTCTATGGTCACTTTGGTTTGAATTATTTTTATGTAACAGAAAAGTGGACATTTGAAAAAAAGACTGATTTAACACAATCGTTTGTTTAATTAATTGATAGAAATCTGCCCTGTGAAAATTCTGTAACGGTTCAGTTTTATAAAATAAATATGAAACCAACCGTGTCCTTACTGTATTTCGAATGCGGCACTGATATGAGCGTACTTTAAGGAGAAATGACTTGGAACATCACAAAGAGGGTTACTATTAATCTTATTGTTTTATTGTTTATATATCCTATTATATATATATATATATATATATGTTTCTCTTCACCGAAGTAGTTCCTGTTTTCTTTCATCTTGGTTCCGATATCATTCTACAAGCTTGATAAAGGGGCCGATAAATCATTGACACGTTATAGACGCGGAAGTCAAGGAAACGGAGAGAGTATCACTCTTACAGTCACGATTCTGGAACTCGAACAAAAGGGAGATAATTCATTAATTAGATTTTTCCCTGACCTGATCAATACAGAGCATTCGTCACTAAGTTAATCAAATGTTCCTTTAGATGTCGTAAATAGCATTATATGGCTGTGTTAATGTTTGAAGGATCGACTTGTATAAGTCTTTATAGTAAACCCTCGGCGGGAGCCTTTGATGTTCGCCGTTACGACTAACTGTAACATATGGTAATTTTGAAATTTCATTTCATAACAAGCATGTCACAATCTCCGTACACAAAAGAGGAATTATAGGTTTACATTAGTGCAAATACACGTGTAATTCACGTGTCTTTTATCGCAGCTGGGTACGGCGTTATACTTGCATCCAAATAATACCTTGGCTTTGTGTGTTTAAATTATATGATCGACAATGTGACATTTTTATCGAACCATTATATCTTTCCTGTCAATTTGAAATTATTCATTCACAACATGAATCCAAAATTTACTGGTAGATTCCTACTTCAATACTATATTTAGATAATTAGGACAGTTCCAGAGTTCCACATTAATGTCTCGCTAAATCTCATAACACATCCACATTTTCCCATTAACGATTTAAATTTTTATCAATCCATTATGACACAAACAATTAATTCGACATCATGAAATTTTTAAGATCCTGTATGTCTGCTAAATTTATATCTTTTCAGTGTGTTAAGGGCATGAGTCAAAATATCATCAGGATTTTGTCTTTTTTCATTCTACATATCATTGTAACTTTGTTTGAATTACCTTTTGCTAAATATGGAGTAAAATTATGACGGAATTCATTGCGACATTGCATTAAAAGCTAATTTCAATAAGTTTCCTGGATTCTTACAATAACAAAATATAAAGCAGAATTACAAACGATGTTACATCGGTCGGAAGTGGAGAACCATTATGTTGCCAGTGATTGTGTTAGATCGTACGTACGAAAAAACACCTAACCCAGGCAAGGGGGAGGGGGGCATGGGGGAGGGGGGCATGAAAGGGGGAGGGGGCATGGGGGAGGGGGGCATGAAAGGGGGAGGGGAGCCGGGAATGAAGGGAAGGGTCGGTTCTTTGAAATACTCGTCTAGAACAGGAACGAGCAGCGCACGTGGTGCCAAGAATATATTGCCATAGTAACTATGAACCATCAGAAAACTTGACACGTGAATTCAAGTTCACATGAAAAGCTTTCCTAGTGTTATATATATATATTTCACGTACAAACACCACTAAAGGCGTAGATGTAAGCGTGTGGAGTACTGAATCTCTTTGTCGAACTCTCATCAAAACGGAATACTACTTGTGATTCAAACGCCAAGCTGACTTTGTTTTTATTAAGCCTGCGAGCAGATACGATCACGAGGCCAGCCGTTATAAACAGCATTTGAAATCGTTGGCAAGGAGCACCAAAAGATGAAACACTTTGTGTTGAACAAGCCCGCGTTGTAATGATTCCCGAAACCTCTCGATCAAAGCCAGGGTGTCCCTGTCATAGTCTTGTGTCGGAGTAACATGAAGGAATTAGTCGAAGATTAATTTAAGTTAGGACCTTGCTAACGGCTATAAAATATGGCTGCCAAACTTTGATTAAAAAGATATGCTCTTCACCAAAGCAAACGATTCGTTTAATAAAACATGTAAGTTTTATCGTGCGTTCTTCCCTTCCTTCTCGTCGACTCTTAACCTAAAAGTTCGGACATAACGTGTGATGTCATATTTTTAATTAACTTTTCTCTAATGAATATATGAACTTCGTGTAACCTCGAGTTTTTTTAATGTAAACATACTCAGGTGCTTGGATAAGACGCAGATTCTCACCCGTGCGGTCCACATAACCACACATAACAGTAGATTTCGTGCTTATCCATGTTTGCATCGCGTGCTGTTTTATTATTTTAAGGAATATTTTTTGCCAAAATATACGAGTTACGTTCTCAGTAAAATGACCTTCTCTCCACCCTAGGGATGTCTCGTGATACAACACATATCAGTACACGTGACCTGCTCCTTCGCAGTCACTTGGTATACTAAAGAAGGGTAAACGAAAAGTTGCTTGGGGATAAATTACCGTCACTGAATTCGAGATAAAGAAAATCATAAGAATGAAGGTAGCAACGGAATGTTTTTTATATGTATACGTATTGCTTTCCAACTTTATCAACAGTTACATGTTGGGACATCTTCCCTATTGAAGCAAGAAAAGTGTGCTTATGTTAGTCTCCGTGTGATAGAACGAGGTTTCTGCCGACTTTATAGTGCTAACACGCTGAAATACACTGACATGTACCGATGTAACGAGGGCTCCAAACTGAGCATTAGATCAGGCCATATACTGATATAGGCAAACAAGTCGCTGCACTATGTTATATAGGGAGACTAGTAACTATTTGTACAGACTGTGGTGCGTCTCGGTCAGAACCAAATGTCTTCACATATCGCAGCCTGCCCTATACACACAAAGAGGGTAGGAGGGGGGGGGGGGTGGGGGGGGTGGGGGGAAGGGGCGTCCTTAAATGACCCTATCTGATAGGAGAAAAATAGCAGTGTGAAACGTGGTTATTTATAGAAAGGAGAGAAAATTATGATTCTTAATTAAGTAGCCCCTTAACGATGAGATCAGTGTCAGTGAGAGTGTCTGACTTATTGATAAGAAAACGTTTATCAGAATAGCTTATTGATTTTCCGATGATAATTCATGAATATTGCATACATTCCTGAACGAGTTTGTCACTTTATCATGAATCTGTGAAGATATGTGTTTCCTGAATAATCATATGAAGGCACAGAGATGCATCTTCACTACAGTACACTATTTAGACACGAACATACATACCTGTACATTCTGTATCCTGTTCTGGAGTACAAGCTTGTGTTTCCACCTGTTTGCCGACACATTTTGAACATGGTTTACATATAGATATTGCACTGGTTTTATCCGAAAATGTTCGATTTCCGCATCGCATACACACAGAATTATGGGTTCCAGTACAAGGTCGCAATGCTCCGAATCCCTTTTTACACGAATCACATATCTCACATCCTTTCTTACTCTCGTCATAATAAAAGTCTATATTACATTCACAAATTGTGTCGTGAGTTCGATTACACTCCGTCACCACATGTTCGTTCATTTGACAGGAAGTGCAAGGAACACATGTCTGCGCATGCGCAGATGGTGACGAAAACGTTTTGCCATGAACACAAGGTACGCATTGGGTTGCGTTTTCTAATGTACAATGATTAATTAATCCAAATCCTGGGTCACATTTACTGCAACATAGATCTGTGGAATTTGATTCAAACTCCTCTGAAGAACAGTTCAAACTAGTCACCATGGGGCTAATCTGAAAAGAAATTTTAAAAAAAATAATGAAAATGCATCTTTATAGCAAATGATAAAGTTCTAAAATTTGCACGTGAACTAACTTTCCAGGCATATAAGATGGCATTAAGAATAACATGAACTAAAAGAAGATCGCTCTTTTAGAAATATTTTCACGTTCAACTGTAGACTTCGCTTTGCGCAATTTTCAAGAAATCTTGCTTCAAGAGCTGAATTTCTTCTGAAGATCACAACAGAGAGTTTGATTACAAGGTAATTTTTTACTTCCACGTCAAGATGCACATGTATAAACCTCGATCTTTTGGGTAAGATTTTAAAATATCCCATCAGGAAGGTCTCCGAGATTATTCATCTTGCTTTTAAAGGGATATGCATAAATCTGACGTTGTGATGGAGCTGTCCTTGATGCTGTGGTGTTACATAAATCTAAGCGTCTAAACGACGTCGGCTTAATGGTTTATATAATGATGTTATGTCAACTATAACGTCATCAATACAAACATTTAATAGCCGTTGATATATATCCTGAAATGACAGCTGTGTAAGTACAACAAATCAGAACAGAGACTACAAAGAGTGTATTCATTAAGATGGTGGATTTCAGAACTTTCTAAAAATCTCAATTAAATCAGAAGAAGTTTCCGTGAATTTTAAAGCATCTCTTTCAGAGAAATGTACAGTGAACAGACTGAAAACTCTAACACACTCCCCGACAAACATATCGAATTCCGAATTCGCCACATCTGCCAGAAAAGGTGCGATGTAAAACTTGAATGACCAAAGAGATGTAACATCTCTGTGGCATTATACTTACTTCTGCTTTCCATTAAAAACTCTTTGTCAGGAAATTTGTTATGATAACTTAACCGGACCTAACGAAGATTATCTTATAGAAATTTATTTCATATTTGAAGTAGGTGTGGCCTACTTACTTATTTGACTTTTGAATAAGAAAACAAAGAGAGAAAATAATGAGGTTTCTATTTCACGAACTCGATGTACGGTACCAAACATATTTTCTATTTATAACTTTACCTCTGACCAGAGAAGTAACACAAGAAAATATTTTCTGTAAGGGAGCATGGTATGAGAGTTTCGTTCCTAGTGGGATTAAAGGGCTCTGGTCATGATTTTTAATCTGGATGAAAACTGCTACACGTTTATCAAAATATTGATAGGAAAGTGAAGTGACCACTTGGGAGACTTGGCGACGATAGTGGTCACACATTTTGTCTAAAGACTAAATAATATTGTAAGGTCAACACTCTTCGTTTTTTAATCACTTTGTCTGGAAAAAACCCACTGTCTTGTATATTAACTTGTAAAATGATTAAATCAAGAAAGTTGATAATAACCGAAATCTAAATATTCCGGATAAAGGATTGTTTATATATTACGGTTAAAGGGTTGTTTACATATTCCGGGTAAAGGGTTGTTTACATATTCCTGATAAAGGGTTGTTTACATATTCCGGATAAAAGGTTGTTTACATATTCCGGGTAAAGGGTTGTTTATATATTACGGATAAAGGGTTTTTACATATTCCTGATAAAGGGTTGTTTACATATTCCTGATAAAGGGTTGTTTACATATTCCGGGTAAAGGGTTGTTTACATATTCCTGATTAAGGGTTGTTTACATATTCCGGATAAAGGGTTGTTTACATATTCCTGATAAAGGGTTGTTTACATATTCCGGGTAAAGGGTTGTTTACATATTCCGGATAAAGGGTTGTTTACATATTCCTGATAAAGGGTTGTTTACATATTCCGGATAAAGGGTTGTTTACATATTCCGGATAAAAGGTTGTTTACATATTCCGGGTAAAGGGTTGTTTATATATTACGGATAAAGGGTTGTTTACATATTCCTGAAAAAGGGTTGTTTACATATTCCTGATAAAGGGTTGTTTACATATTCCGGGTAGAGGTTTGTTTACATATTCCGGATAAAGGGTTGTTTACATATTCCGGGTAAAGGGTTGTTTACATATTCCTGATAAAGGGTTGTTTACATATTCCGGGTAAAGGGTTGTTTACATATTCCGGGTAAAGGGTTGTTTACATATTCCTGATAAAGGGTTGTTTACATATTCCGGGTAAAGGGTTGTTTACATATTCCGGATAAAGGGTTGTTTACATATTCCGGGTAAAGGGTTGTTTACATATTCCGGATAAAGGGTTGTTTACATATTCCGGATAAAGGGTTGTTTACATATTCCGGGTAAAGGGTTGTTTATATATTCCGGATAAAGGGTTGTTTATATATTCCTGTTGTTTATTCTATTGGGTAGTTTTCAATATCATCAGTTATCTTAATGAAACAACCAAGTTCATTTCCTGTCATCAAAAAAAAAATCATCAATCGATACACAACAATTTTCCCGTTCTAGGGAAAATAAGAGACCTAACACAGAAAAAATGATAATTTTTTTATTGAACACCTTAGCACTCTTATATCCATGACAACGATAAACTGTTTCTACGGAATATCTGAGTGTAAAGTACATGAGACTATTTACTCCGTATCTTACCCCTCAAGTCCTGAGGTCTGGGAGTGGGGAGGGGGCGGAGAGAGTGATCTCACACCACCAACTAGGATGTATTTATTCCTAGCATGTTTATCGTGAAATTATGCAAACATTTACAAAATACCTCTCTGCTTCAGCTTAAATTATTTATAACCCAAAAGAAAACTGAATATTCAAAATCAATTTTCCTTTGTATTTTCTGGGTTGATTGACAACTGTCGTTAAGTTCGTATTGACCGACTACGATAGGGTATATAAAAAAAGTCCCACAAGGCCTGTATAAAAGTCTACTCTCAGCGAGAGCACTTAAACAGGGTTTACGATAATTTCATTAACGTTGGATCAAAGAGAATTTCAAAAAGAGATAACCTCAACTAAAGTATTAATAATTAAGTGGTCGCGAGAGTCAGTCTGCCGTATCTCCCGTGTGTTGATTCCGTGGTGACACGCACGCAGGTTTGTCTACACCAAGGTAAAACACACAGGGACCGGTAAATAGTACGCCTATAGTTGTATCTACAATACGTCTGATATGATGGAAACACATGATTCCTGTGCGTTCTCTCTTTAGTGTAATCTTCAAGTCATAAACATTTAAAACTCTGTAAAAACCAGGGGTAGACCCTCATGTCCCTGTGTAGATAAAGTGTCCCTTGTACAAGTGTCTATTTCCCCCTCTCAAAGTTGAGACATCTACTTTACATGTCTGTTTGTCTCTCTCCCCCTCTCAAAGTTGAGACACCTACTTTACATGTCTGTTTGTCTCTCTCCCCCTCTCAAAGTTGAGACATCTACTTTACATGTCTGTTTATTTGTCTCCCTCCCTCTCTCAAAGTTGAGACATCTACTTTACATGTTTGGTTGTTTTTGTCCCTCTCCCCCTCTCAAAGTTGAGACATCTACTTTACATGTATGTTTGTCCCTCTCCCTCTCTCAAAGTTGAGACATCTACTTTACATGTATGTTTGTCCCTCTCCCTCTCTCAAAGTTGAGACATCTACTTTACATGTCTGTTTGCTTGTTTGTCCCTCTCCCTCTCTCAAAGTTGAGACATCTACTTTACATGTCTGTTTATTTGTCTCCCTCCCTCTCTCAAAGTTGAGACATCTACTTTACATGTCTGTTTGTTTGTTTGTCCCTCTCCCCCTCTCAAAGTTGAGACATCTACTTTACATGTATGTTTGTCCCTCTCCCTCTCTCAAAGTTGAGACATCTACTTCACATGTCTGTTTGCTTGTTTGTCCCTCTCCCTCTCTCAAAGTTGAGACATCTACTTTACATGTATGTTTGTCCCTCTTCCCCTCTCCAAGTTGAGACATCTACTTTACATGTTTGTTTGTCCCTCTCCAGCTCTCAAAGTTGAGACATCTACTTTACATGTATGTTTGTCCCTCTCCCCCTCTCAAAGTTGAGACATCTACTTTACATGTCTGTTTGTCCCTCTCCCCATCTCAAAGTTGAGACATCTACTTTACATGCTTGTTTGTCCTTCTCCCCCTCTCAAAGTTGACACATCTACTTTACATGTCTGTTTGCTTGTTTGTCCCTCTCCCTCTCTCAAAGTTGAGACATCTACTTTACATGTTTGATTGTTTTTGTCCCTCTCCCCCTCTCAAAGTTGAGACATCTACTTTACATGTATGTTTGTCCCTCTCCCTCTCTCAAAGTTGAGACATCTACTTTACATGTATGTTTGTCCCTCTCCCTCTCTCAAAGTTGAGACATCTACTTTACATGTCTGTTTGCTTGTTTGTCCCTCTCCCTCTCTCAAAGTTGAGACATCTACTTTACATGTCTGTTTATTTGTCTCCCTCCCTCTCTCAAAGTTGAGACATCTACTTTACATGTCTGTTTGTTTGTTTGTCCCTCTCCCCCTCTCAAAGTTGAGACATCTACTTTACATGTATGTTTGTCCCTCTCCCTCTCTCAAAGTTGAGACATCTACTTCACATGTCTGTTTGCTTGTTTGTCCCTCTCCCCCTCTCCAAGTTGAGACATCTACTTTACATGTTTGTTTGTCCCTCTCCAGCTCTCAAAGTTGAGACATCTACTTTACATGTCTGTTTGTCCCTCTCCCCCTCTCAAATGTGAGACATCTACTTTACATGTCTGTTTGTCCCTCTCCCCCTCTCAAAGTTGAGACATCTACTTTACATGTTTGTTTGTCCCTCTCCCCCTCTCCAAGTTGAGACATCTACTTTACATGTTTGTTTGTCCCTCTCCAGCTCTCAAAGTTGAGACATCTACTTTACATGTCTGTTTGTCCCTCTCCCCCTCTCAAATGTGAGACATCTACTTTACATGTCTGTTTGTCCCTCTCCCCCTCTCAAAGTTGAGACATCTACTTTACATGTTTGTTTGTCCCCCTCCAGCTCTCAAAGTTGAGACATCTACTTTACATGTTTGTTTGTCCCTCTCCAGCTCTCAAAGTTGAGACATCTACTTTACATGTTTGTTTGTCC